GGTTAGATACGAAAAGCGGCGCGTAGTCATTTCCGACGGTGTGCATCTTAACACTGAGCATTCTGTCGAGCACGGAGTTTCAATGCCTTGTGTCGCACGTAACTGCGTCTTCTTGCCTCGCTCGGACCATATCAGATCTGAAGATCTTGGCACGTGTGGTTCCCGGTGTCATGGTCTGGCAGCCCGCGACACACGGATCTAAGTCGATCCAGACATTCTCGGATCCTATTCACTCCTACAATCCCTTCTCTGTTTTATCGATAACGCACAGCCGTGGCCACGCCCGCATCTAACGCCGCTTTGCTCGGCAGCTGATCATGCCCGGCTATGTGTGGCCGGCACGGTGGGCCACAGGTGCTGAACGGCGCAAGAAGGTCGAGTTCGACAACCGCCAGACGGTGGAGGTGAAGATGGCCGGCGAGTACATGTCCTTCTCGGCGCACGCCGACGCCAAAGGCATCATGCAGCTCATCACCTACTGCCAGCCCAAGAACGTGCTGCTCGTGCACGGCGACGCCGAGAAGATGGTCTTCCTCAAGTCCAAGATCGAGCAGGTGCCGGTGCTGCGCTGTGGGAGTGGGGAGGGGGGGGGGGGGGGCGGGGCCCAGCACTGTTCAGACTCGGGCTCTGAAGGCCTGTCTGTGGCGACACGGATGGGATATCACCAGTTCGGGTTGGCTCGCGGGGGCTGTGGCTTCGGTCGATGACCCGAGTATGAGGGTAACGCGGCGTGCGCTGGGGCAAGCTCTGGGATTCCTCGACACAATCCGTGGAGCTCCGTAGTCTGAACTGTTGTAACCCCTTCACCGACCCAGACAGGTGCTTTCCTCTGCGTGTTCCTCTTAATCGGCCAGTCCCACTCTGTCCTGCACACGGCTCTCCCTGCGATTTCAGCCGTCTCCCACAAACCCGGCAGGATCTGCGCGCTGACCCGTGACTCTATGGCCGCCGTCAGGAGCTGTCGCTGGCCTGCTACAAGCCGGCCAACGGTGAGACCTGCACGATCGTGACGCAGCCGACGATCGCGGCGGACGTGTCGCTGCCGCTGCTGAAGCGGGACCTGCAGCCGACGGCCGAGCTCGGCGACCTCACGGTCAAGCGGCGCCGCCTGCTGCACGGCGTGCTCGTCGTCAAGGGCAGCGTGAGTGGGCGCCGTGGTCGGGCGGGTCGGGGTCGAGCCCTGGTGCCGGCGCTGGCTCAGCTGAGGCGGACGGCGGGGGGCTGCTGCGGCGGGGACGACCGCTGCTGTCGGGGCTGATAGGCGGTGTGGGTAGACGCCGTGGTCGGGCGGGTCGGGGTCGAGCCCTGATGTCGGCGCTGGCTCAGCTGAGGCGGACGGCGGGGGCTGCTGCGGCGGGGGCGGTCGCTGCTGCCGAGGCTGATAGGCGGTGTGGGTCGGGCGGACGCTCGGCAGCAGCACGACTGGCCGGCCAAAGCCCAGACAGACAGACAGCCCGTCGGTGCTGTGATGTGTGCTCGCTCCGCGGGGCTGCGTCATTGTCCGCGTCGCCTGTGTGGCCGGGGGTGCCCGTCCACTCTTGTTCTGCCGCTTTTGTCTCGTCGCATGGCACGTGCCGCCCACCTCAGGAGAACCCACTGTCTTGCACTTGCCGGAGATTGCGCTATGTTCCCTCAGTTTTCGGGCTATTCCAAGCCGATGTTTCGTGCCGTCATTATTTTGTTTTTCTTCCATATGGTCATGCCCCCTGGGACGTTGCCACCGTGTGTGTGCTTTGGACGGGCCCGCTCGCTGTGCTGCGGTCCGCCGTCTGACCGTGCCCGGCGTCGGCGCTGCCGCAGAAGGTGCGCGTGCTGGAGAGCGAGGCGGCCTGTACGGAGCTGGGCATCACGCGCCACGAGGTGCGCTTCACCTCCACGGTCACGCTGCAAGACCCAGGCGCCGTCTCCAAGACCATCGACAAGCTGCACACCCACCTGCAGAGGTGAGGACGCCGGCGGTCCGCGCGCCGCCCCGGTGCACGGCCGCGGTGCCTGCGCCCGCCAGCCTGTCCCCTCGACCACCGGCTGCCCGTCCTGCGCGCGAGCGGACGAGTGGTGGGGCAGTGGGCGAGTGCGTCTGCGCCGATTCTATATCGAGCGATGCTGCGGTCTCCTTGACAACGGCGACTCTTCTCGCTCGTCTGTCGGTAACCGTGCGTTCGAGTGGTTGCCACAACAGAGGCGAGCTCGCCACGCCACACAAAGCGTGAGTTCGTCGTCTCCGGCTGATCCGTCTTCTGCAACATTAGCGCGCCACTCTGTAGACCTTGACGTCCTGACCCGCAACGTCTTGTGCTACTTGACGTAATCAACATCCGGGTTGATATTTACCTTGGTCTGTGCCTACCCTGGTAGAGCTATTTACCTAGATTGAAGAGCGGAGACGTTTACCAACGGCTTTGCGATTGCCATGAAAGAACCGCCTTCTTTCCCCATCTGCACACGGATTCCGTTATTGTCACTCGACGGAATCTGCACTGATATATGCGATCATCTCGTTTCCGTCAACGACCGGGGAGACCCGTCCCAACTCGCCTACGCGCTGGATGTGAGCAGGAACTGTGATGTGATCGACCTCGTTAAATTCTAGACTAAACTGAAACTCCACGGAATCGGTATGTCTGGGTTCTTTGCATACCTTGGGAACCACACCTTGGGTGTCATCCTCACTGACGCTCCGGGGTGACGAGTGCCCCGGCTCTCCGGCAGACACGCTCTTATTACCTCGAGGTTCGTAGAATGGCTTGTCTTCTGTCATAACATGATTAAGCATGCAACAACTGTCTTCAGTCGTGAACACAGTGATCGGCATCGGATATTCCTGTGAGATCAGGCTGGCCTCAAGCCTAGTCTAGCACCATACCCGGTGTTTGATGCGGCTAGGGTGAGCCGATTTGCGATGACGGGCCTCGGCGGGGTGGAGACGCTGGCCGCAGAGCTCACGTTTGTCAGAGGCCAGTGGCCCGACACACGGGACTGGGCCCAGGTGTGGGCCCAGGTCCCACGCGGAGACGGCCGCGCTCCGCTGCGGCACAGCTCGCTGCCGTCGGATCTGCCGCGGCTCGCCGTCCTCCTTCGTAGTCGCCCCGCCACCTGGGGCACCAGCTGGCATGCGCCGGCACCCAGTGTAGTATTTGGGCCAGTTTGGTTGCGGCTACACGGTTCCGCTGTTAGTCTTCAGGCTGCTGGGCTCAGCGGGCGCGTGCGCGTATTTATGCGTCAGCCAGGTGGTAGCCGTCGACCTCTTGTTTTTATGTTCTTACCGCGAAACCCTAATGGTCACAAGTATATTGTGGATGGCACCAGTACATGTTCCGAGCATGAGCCGGCACCTCCGCCAGGGAGACGTCCGCAGCGGCGCCACGCTGCCAGGCGTCGCTGTATGGCTCAGTTGTGACTCGGCCGGGTCAGGTGCATACATTAGCGCGGAGAAGACCGCCTGGCCACAAAATTAGGCGCCTCACAATTTGTAAGGTGATGGAACCTTGACATTAGATGAACATCATAATTCACATAATATAATTTTGGTTTTCAACCCTCATACGCAGTGTGCTATGTCAATAATTGTGCGATTTGTCCTTTTTGAGATAGTCGAACTCGCTCTAGGCCAGAGTAATTGGTGAAATAGGCAGTTCGCTCATAGTTTTGACTGCAGGTCAGCAATTTCGATGAGTTCTTCACGTCATGGTGCTTTCAGTTTAGGCATTTCTTCACGTAAGAAACGTTTTAATCTATTATAATTACCGTAAGCGGAATTTGTTGTGCGTATTTCGGACCGTCTTTAAGTTGCGTTGCGTCATTTTTGACCATTTTGAACCCCTTCCCCTGGTTGGCCGATTTACAGAGAAAGTTGGACGTGCATTGTGTTGTGCTGGTGATGCCTGCGATTGTTCTGATTTACGGCTTCAGTTCCCCAAGATCGTTGTATTGCGTATTAAATCTGGTCACACGACGCCAATCAACCCCGCCTTCGCCGTGAGTCACAGCTCCAGATGGTGGTGGTGGGGGACGCTGATCACCCCGTTTCTCTTGTTTTTCCCTGATCCATCGCCATAGGGGTGTGCATATGCGCCTGGGTGGGTCCGTGTCCCCGTCCGTGTCCGTGTCCGTCTCCGTGCCCGTCTCCGTGTCCGTCTCCGTGTCCGTCTCCGTGTCCGTGTCCGTGTCCGTGTCCGTGGAACACACCGGTCGCACTGTCACGTTGCTCCTCACCATGGGTCGTGTACCCGGAACGTATGTGACATCGAAGATCAGCTTTACACGACACAAGAGCACACAACGCCCACAAGCAGGAGTTGGAGGCGTTTCCTGCCCATGCCAAGCCTTTGTTTGTCGCCTTGTGGGGTACCGCGCCTCCTGTGCTCCCTGTCGCGAGAGGGACTCCGTCGTCGCGCGTGGGCTGTGCGTGCGTTGGGGCGTGCGTGCGTGCGTGCGTGCGTGCGTGCGTGCGTGCGTGCGTGTGTGGTGGCCTGTACGTGTGTGCGTGCATGTGCATGCGTGCGTGCGTGCGTGCGTGCGTGGAGTGCTTGCGTGCCTCGAACGCGCCCACCCAGGCGGCAATGAGTCACGCCGGGTCGCTGCGAGCTTCCGCTGACCGCCGCCGTCCCTGTCACACCGTCGGCGGCCGTGCTGGGCGTCACTGATCGGCCGTGCCGGGCGTCACTGACCCGGCCGTGCCGGGGCGTCACTGATCGGCCCCACCGGGCGTCACTTATCGGCCGTGCCGGGCGTCACATGATCGGCCGTTCTCCTGCGCCAGACGTCTGGGCATCACACAGCACCTGGGCGACGGACCCATCAGCATCGGCTCCGTGCTGCTGCAAGGTGTCTGGTTCCGACCATGAAGACCTCAAGGACGTCATCGTCTCCTGGACGTACCAGTGTGAGCAGCAGCCGCTGCCCCTCCGCCCCCACCCTCGCGACTGTGCCTCACACTGTGTTACGCTGTGTAGCAGCCAGCGGCACGTTACAGCGGGGCCTTTTCCTGGAACCCCGACGGTCACTGGGGTCCAGTATAGTGTGGTCCTAGTTATGGGCCTGACCATTTCCATGGCGGAGTCATTAAGAACGGTGTGCCACATGGACTGCGTTTCATGTGAGGGGCGGTGAATAAGCACGCTGTGTGGCATGAATGGATTGAGTGGCCATGAATGGGCGGCTGCTCGGGGCTGGTCGGTCAGCTGCGAACTGTGCGCTTCCGCTCCCCGCGCTCGGCCAATCGGCATGGCCCGGCCCTGCTGGTATTGAAACGAGGGTCAATCACCCGCCCGTCAGAAATGTGCATGGACGGCGGCGGGGAAAGGATCGCAAACAGCCAGCTCGGGACGGGTCGGTAGTTGGCCATGTCGAGTTTTCTGCCCCGGCTGCCAGGGGGTGCTCGTGGTAGTTCCGACCACGGGCCTTTTGTCATTTTCATCGTGATCATTTCCGGGTCATCTCTTTTTGTTGTTGACAAGTATCAATTATCAATAAACTGGCGTGCCTGTGCTATTGCTGAAGTGATCGATCGGGTCAATTGGTGGTCTAACCATCAGGCATGGGGCATTTCCGCACACACGCCTGATGCCCTGCTTCCCTGAGTCTCCTCGAGCCATACAAAGTTTGATTTAGCGCTGACTGAGTTGTGTCCCAGTCGGTTGTCGGTCCCAGTTCCGATATGGAACTGTGATGACGATCGTGCTGATTTCAGCTTCAGGGCGCGCTGGCTCCATTGGTCATATGCCGCCCACGCTGCGAAGCTGTCGTGACGCAGCCAGTGACGGGGAGTTGTTGTACAGTGTGGGTATGTGTTGATGCCGGACGCTGGCGCCGTTCTCTGACTCTGTCTCCCCTGCAGGACGAGGCACTGGGCAGCTACATCCTGAGCAGCATCAAGAACATTGACCGGTGACGCGGAGGGTGTCGCTTGTTTCCACACCGAACCGCTGACAGCGGCACCACGCGCTGCCGCATGCACAAAGCATCATCAAGAGCATCGACTGGTGTGGTGTGACGTCAGCGACTGGTACGGTCGTGTGACGTCCTCCGGTCTGCAGCGTGACGTGTGACGTCATGCTTGGCCGGCCCGCGGGCACAAGCGTCGCTGGCCCGCCGGTGGTGGCCGGGTCGGGCCATTTGTGCGCGGAATCGCGGCTGGTATACCTGCCCTGGGTGCCCGTCCTGACCGGCCAGCGGGCACAAGACGTCGCTGGCCCGCTGGTGGGTGGCCGGGTCGGGCCATTTGTACGAGGAATGGCGGCTGGCATACCTGCCCCGCGGTGCCCGTCCTGACCGGCCAGCGGGCACAAGACGTCGCTGGCCCGCTGGTGGTGGCCGGGCCGGGCCATTTGTACGCGGAATCGCGGCTGGTATCGCTGCTCGCCGTAAAAACAGTGCGCCGAGGCCTGGGAACGGAATCGATGGCCGTCCGGTGACGTGCGAGCAGACGGGGAAGGAGGTGGGGGGGGGGGGGGGAGGGGGGAGGGAGGCGAGTGTGTGTTTGTTTACATGCGCGGGTATTGCGTAAGACTACTTGTGCCGCGCGGTGCTCGTCGTGGAAATCCAATACAGGACACGTGATAGTTCGCGCGCATTTGAGTCCCACTGTGGGGTAATTCTTCAGGGGGCTTCGAGGGTGACTCCATAGCCCGGTGGGCGCGTGCGTCGCAGGACGGGAGGCTGGTGGGGCCGTGATTCCTAGCTCCGGCCTTGGCGAAACGCTAGCAGCCTACAAACGGGGGCTCGCTGTACAGCGTTCTCGCGTTCCACGAACTGCTGAGGCGGGTGCAAGTCTGACCCACATGCCGTGCAGGCAAAAGGCACACAAAGCAGTGGACAGAACATGTGTTGCCTGTGTGCTACATTTGGCCAAATTCTTGTACAGTGCCGCATACTGACAGCCGTTTCCGGCTCATTTGCAGTCTCACATGCTGCCAAACGTCTCGGGCAGTGCTCTTCAGAAGCAGAAATCAGCTCAATTTAGCTGTTCCGAAGGCAAAGAAAGCCTGCTGGCGTTAGGCCCATCCATTCGCAGAACTCTTGTGTTGCGATGCGTTGTCATGGCAACAACGACCATACGTACCCACACGCCAGCGAATGGATTCCCGCTGTGTTCAGATGCATCGACAGGCGTCGCTGGCCGAGGTCTGCTGGGCTGGATGAACGTGCTGTTGGCCCCTGGCGCCTGCTGAAACCCATCGTCGCGTGCTTTTTGCGGATACTCCCAGAAGCGCTACTGCGATCTCATTCAATTTGATAAGTGCGACCGTACAGCCGACGTCGATTCCCGGAAGAGGGTCAGTCAAAATCGGACGCGAATGAATAGCGCTCGGCTGTACATCACCGTAACCTCCATAGCGGTCATGTCAAAGGTTTACGTCACGGTCCACACCGTCCATACGGGGAAAACAACAGCCAGGTATTTATGCTCATGCAATGGTACTATCAGCTGTTTCAGCTTTGGTGAGCTAGAACTACCTGGCCGCTTTTGTGTGTGCTCTGACGTTTGGCGAACAACGATGCCAGTGTGCGAGACCAGCCAGGCCTTTCTGGCTCGCCAAAGTTGGAGTAGCTGAAACAAATTGCACCAGCATGATATGGCCAGCTAGAAAAATCTCCTCCACTTTTTACGCATTTACGGTTCTAGCTTGACTGACTTGTTCGAGCATCACAGCAGACTCAATGGCAGTGAGCTTTTCAAATGCGATCATTGAAAACTGCGAAGATTAAAGCAATAAAAAGTGACAGGATATAAGGGCTCGATGTTGACAATAGTGACATCGGGGGCAACTCCGTTCCAGCTCCCTGACGTTGTTACCACGGAAATCAGCTGCCTCCGGGTATTACTTCCGCCCCACCGCACCCTGCCCCGCCCCTCGGCCCCGGCCGCCGCGCGGTCATGGCGTTCCGGGCGCGTGCCGCCGCGCGTAACGACGCGCCCTCGGCCGAGCCTGTGCAGCGCCGCCGGCGCCGCCACCGCCGCCGCCGCCGCCGCCGCAGTCTCACAGAACGCAGGCCCCGTGTCCCGGCTGGGCGGCGGCTCACAGGCGGCGCGACCCGTGGCCGACTGCGGACCCTGAGACGGTCTGCCGCCGACCGGAGACGGAGACGGAGCAGGGCGTCCAGCCGACCGGAGACAGAGACGGAGCGGGGCGTCCAGCCGACCGGAGACAGAGACGGAGCAGGGCGTCCAGCGGACCGGAGACGGAGCGGGGCGTCCAGCCGACCGGAGACAGAGACGGAGCGGGGCGTCCAGCCGACCGGAGGCAGAGCGGGGCGTCCAGCCGACCGGAGGACGGAGCGGGGCGTCCAGCCGACCGGAGCGGAGCAGGGCGTCCAGCCGACCGGAGACAGAGACGGAGGGGGCGTCCAGCCGACCGGAGACAGAACGGGCTGGGCGTCCAGCCGACCGGAGACGGAGCAGGGCGTCCAGCCGCCCGGACCTGCGGTTCACTGAGACATCGGCACCGGACGGTCACGGCATAGCTGCCCCAGCTGCGGGCGCTGAAGAGCTGGCAGTGACTGGACGCGCCGCATGAGCTACGGTGGCGAGCTCTCTGGAAAGCGCCGCCGCTCTCCGTACCTGAGGTCCAGCCAGCTGGAGAAGATGGCCAAGGAGCTGCTGGACGATGCTGGAGGAGAGATGGGGACGACTGGCGGTCGGGAGCCGGGGCCCAGCTCCGGCCGGCCGCTGGGCTACAACGGCCGCAGACCTGTTTCCAGACAGGACATGAGGTGGGTACCGCCACTGTGTCGACTTTACGTCGGAGCGGCGGGGCGGCGAGCGTGTCTGGCGTTTCCACGTGGTTGCACGCTGTTTATCAGTTCTGATTGCTTGCAGCGTGTTGTACGTGCCTTGAGCGAGGCCTCGGTCAGCATTTCATGTCTGCTGTACGTTTTACGTTAACAGGTTGCATTAGCTGTGCGGTGCATCTGGCTACGGATTGCGCCACCTCGCGTTATGCGCCGTCAGAAGTCCGTACTTGAACAGGCTGGACGAACAGGCTGCGCTCTCCGGAGCTTTTCTGCTGTCTAGGCGCAGATGGGTGTTTTCTGCGATATCAACATAGATGTGTTTGATGTGGTCAGTGCTTTATTGGAGCAACCGGCTTAATCGAGAATTCCTTCTGTCTGGGACTGATGTGCTGAGCATAACTTATCTAGATAATTGTGGAAAAGCAGGATAACCACCGAAGGCGATAAGCATTTGTTCACGTAGGCGGTTTTTCCGCGCGTCGGATGCTCGCACCCATGCTACGAATCGGGTGCCTGCCTACGTCATACTTTTGCTAGAAGGTTTTGCATACCTTTGCAAGTCATCCAGAAATGTCATCAGGTCACGCCCCTGATGTCGGGGTCAAGATGCTTACACAAATGTTATCAAAACGTTTCACTGTGGTTTGCAGATTCAGTGATCGAATGTTTGATACGTAACATATGATATATCAGACCATTTAATTCTGTTTAAGAAGTTGAATTTCTGCTGGGTTTCAAATCTAGTTTCATCATCTTATTTGGCCTCACTTGGCTCAACTTGAATTGGTCTCAGTTTGACCTTGAACCAAGGACAGCCTACCGCCATTGTGATGCAAAACAAGACGGCTTCCGTGCGAGGCATGTTGTCAAGCTCTCTGAGCAGAATGGCTCTTGCTGAACGATACTCTTACAAGCGTTGATGCAGTGTTTGGGTATTTTTATGGATGAACTCGGCTGTGCCAGGACGACAAGGACCAGTGCCACCAATTGGCTGTATGCACGTACATGGTTCGACCAATGGCTTCAGAGACTCGAGGGTAGAACTAGATCGGTCCATCCCAGGCGCTAGCGTGCGTTGCGACGCTCCTTCGGGCGGAAAGCTTCAGGTGACGCTGGGTAAAAAGGAACTGTTGGAGACCACCTTGTACATTGACACACTTCAAGCTGGTGGTTAGGAGATCTGGCACACAGGTTCGGACCCACTGACCGGGTTTACCTCGTAGCTCGGTCAGCTGTGTTCCGGGACCTCGGAGCGGCTCTGATGTCTACTAAGCCAATGACACGCGTACACCATCTGTCGCAATGCGCGAGTGTTTTCATCACCCGGGCCTCGTGGCAACGTTTCCTTTACAAGTAGTGAACAGCTGTTCGACTTCGACTATGATGTTTGATATTTGTTCTTCCAAACGGTTGTTACCCTCGTCCGGTGATGATGGTGTTAATAGAGTGGTTTTGCCTGGCATTGTCGCACAGCAGTGACATCTACACCACTGTCGTTCTTGCCACTAAAATGCACGTGATTGCAGTATGGTTGCAGCATCTCCTATTCAGTATGTGCTTTGCCAAAACCCAAGGAGCGATCTCTTTTTATAATTGCTTTCGTTCATGTTTTTCGTTGAAGTATTCACGCCACGATCATGATCTTATGGACCAGATAAAATTGTCTGTGAACACTGCTCAACTTTGTCAGCTCAGGAGCTTTCCCATGGTCACAACGTAACCGTCTTTCGCAAACAGCACATAGTTACGACTCCCGGGAACAACTCCGACATTGTAAACAACTTCAGTTTTTTCATGGGGCAGTTCATCTTTGCGGATGAGACGCGCCTCTTATACGGAACTTCGAAAGGCCATCCTCAATCGGTGGATGCCCTTAAGATGGTGATGTTTTGTGTGAGGCTTTTCCGGTAGCTTTTAATTTTTTCAGTTTCAGAAAGATGTTCATATTTGCCAAATGTATAGCTACTCAGCAACCAATAAACAACAAACCGAGTCGCTTTTTTGCTAATTTGCTGCTTTTCGCGACCCTTAGCGTTTCCAATGCACAAAATTGAGTATTAACAAGGTAACACGCAACATTTGGGCACCATTTGTCTAGAATCAGTCTTAGTGATGAGCTCCCATTTCCTTCCGTGACCCGAGAACGAGCCATATTTGCCTTTTTGCACCTGATACGTTTTGCGGTTTTAGAAAATGCTGCTAAGGGTGTCCCCCCTGCACTCTTTTCACCCGCACGCAGGATGTCCATCGGATTAGTCTCGACCTGGAGGCCCCCCGCGAGGGGGGGGCATTTGTCTAGGACACCCCCAACAAACTGCTTTACCCCGCTCCGAATACATGGCACCGCTTCTGCACAGCAGCTTCTTTTGCTAGACGTATTTTGTCGTCATTCCAACATTCAAAAATTTTGCTTGGCGTGTTTCGGTGTCATTCCTCCGGTGGCGGCCGCGGCGTTAGTGCCCACGCGATCTGTTTCAGCATATTGCCATTCACCTGCGGGACATTTCGTCATCCTGCAACAAATCGATGACGTCTGTTTTCGGCTCCGCCCGCTTTCGTGCCCAGTCAATTGCGGTTTCTCCGCCTATCTCATGTCAGCGTTGAATGTGCACTGTCCGGTGGGGCTTGTATGCATCTCTAGAGCTGTGTCTGGTTCGATTTCCAGTCGAAACTGTCTTTACAGTGGTGTGGTAGCATTGCTGGCATCGAGTGGCACCATTCTTAGTTTTGCCTCGCTTGGCAAATTTGCGTTGAACTTCCGCTCGCAAGTGACGCACTTTTCATCGATGTTAGATTGAGTAACGCAACGCCTGTTTGCTTTGCTGCTCTGTTGCTTGGGACATTTCTGGGACGGAATCTCTTTTGCTTTATGTTGTATTCGGCTGCGTGATCACTACAACTGCAGCCTGCAAAAAAACAAGAGACCATCCCGGAGCTCAGCTGCAAACGACTCTAAACGGAAGCATGATACGTTCCCACCGTAGCTGTGCTCCTGTTATTCGTTGCTTTGTTTGCTGTGAAGCGCTCGCACATGCGGGCTTCACTGGAACACATGCACGTCATTTGGGCCATCGGGAACTGCTCGGCGAATCATTCGGCCGTTCATGGTTACTCGGTCTGTTTATCGTTACTGCCGCAGGATCAGTTGGCATGCAAACTCTACCTGGTGGTCAGTGGCTATCGCCATGCGTACGCAACTTCAGGGCCGTGGACACGGCTCCCTGCCGCGCAGTCCCAGCCAAAACACCTGTGCGAGGAACGTACAGATGTTCACAGCCTGGACTAGGCCCGCTATCCCACAAAACACCCGATCGATACCAACCCCCCTCCCCCCCCCCCCCCCCCCGCCCCGCCCTTCCAGCATATTCCCACCGGGCGGCACCCGTGCCTGGCGGTGACGTCACCCCCCATCGGGGGCGACACGTGCCACCAACGCCGGGAACGGCAATCGATGGCTGCGTGCCTAAGCCGGCCGCTCGCGGCCCAGCGGCCACTCGCCGCGCTCCGCCGGCCCCGCGTCGACGTGTCGTCGGACTCGACGGGCCGGGCGGCGGCGACGCGAGTCCTCGGCGCCTGGCCGGTCCTCCCAGTCCTCTGAGAGGACCGCGCGCTCGGAGGACGGGTCACGCCGCGTCACCGGCCGTCCTCCCGGGTCTGAAGCGAGCGTGCTCGCGCGGCTGAGCGGGGCACCTCCGCCGGCGCAAGAGCTCTGCTGCCGAAGCCAGGGCCGGCGAGCGGGACTCGCCCCGTCTCCTCCGCCCTTCCTCCCGAGACGAGAGGACGTCTCCACGATAAGCCGCCACGCTGTCGGCTCCGCACGAGCCGGCCGGGCCCGCGCAGACGCGCCTGCCTCCGCTCCGGACTCAGGAGACGGTAGAGACCATCCAGCACTCCGACATGTCGGCCGGCAGGGTGGCTGACGTCGACTATGCCGGTCCGGTGAGTCACGCTGCTGTTAACTCTGCGGCCTGGGGACAGCACGTGCCGTTGACTGCATTGGCCCGATGGACGAAGCAGCTGTTGACTGGCGGCCTGGCCGCCCTGTGGTTGGTGTTGCTGTTGGTTGTGTTGCCCGGTGAGTGGTGCTGTCTCTGACTGTGTTGACCCGATGAGTGGTGCTGTCTCTGACTGTGTTGATCCGATGAGTGGTGCCGTCTCTGACTGTGTTGACCCGGTGAGTGGTGCTGTCTCTGACTGTGTTGACCCGGTGAGTGGTGCAGTCTCTGACTGTGTTGACCCGGTGAGTGGTGCTGTCTCTGACTGTGTTGACCGGTGAGTGGTGCCGTCTCTGACTGTGTTGACCCGGTGGGTGGTGCTGTCTCTGACTGTGCTGACCCGATGAGTGGTGCTGTCTCTGACTGTGTTGACCCGGTGAGTGGTGCTGTCTCTGACTGTGTTGGCTCGGTGAGAGGTGCTGTCTCTGACTGTGTTTGGCCGGTGAGTGGTGCTGTCTCTGACTGTGTTGGCCCGGTGAGTGGTGCTGTCTCTGGCTGTGTTGGCCCGCGGAAGTCTGCGAGTGAAGGTGGCGTCTAACCTGCTGGCCACGCAGGTGCAAAGGCCGCTAGTTATGGCGTGTGGTGCGTGAGCGAACGGCACGATATTAGTTTAATCGGTCGGGTGGTAGTGTCCGGCTACGAACGGTAAAAGTAGCAGTATAGTAACCATAACAGTAGGCACTGACTTTGTCGGTCGGCTTCAAAAGCCAGTGCTGACCTTGCCGGTCCAGACATTACGGGTGCGAAACATTGAGGGTCACTACAACTCCTAATATGATGCAATAATTCTGTCCTGTTGGTGACGATGGTAGAGTTCACCCTGGAGGTGACAGCTCCCCTGACCGGAGTCCACCCTGGAGGTGACAGCTCTCCTGACCAGAGTCCATCCTGGCGGTGACAGCTCCCCTGACCGGAGTCCACCCTGGAGGTGACAGCTCTCCTGACCAGAGTCTACCCTGGAGGTGACAGCTCTGCCTGACCAGCGTCCACCCTGGAGGTGACAGCTCTCCTGACCAGAGTCCACCCTGGAGGTGACAGCTCTCCTGACCGGAGTCCACCCTGGAGGTGACAGCTCTCCTGACCTGAGTCCACCCTGGAGGTGACAGCTCTCCTGACCAGAGTCCACCCTGGAGGTGACAGCTCTCCTGACCGGAGTTCACCCTGGAGGTGACAGCTCTCCTGACCAGAGTCCACCCTGGCGGTGTGTGCTGTGCTAATCCGCACGCCTCTGTCCCGCAGCGGAAGCCGTTGGATGCCAACCGGTACGCTACCAAGAAGACCATCGCGCAGGGCATGCTGGACGTGGCGCTGCTGACGGCGAACGCCTCGCAGCTGCGCTACGTCCTGCAGGTGGGGGAGCAACACGAGTTCTACACCCTCATGGTCACCCTCATCAGCGTCAGCATCATCCTGCAGGTAAGGTGTCAGCGACAACAGGAGGCGAGCGCGGCTTGCAAGCACCCAAAACTTGCAGGGCATCTCGTGTTTCGTACCGTAGGTGGCACGCTTTGACATGCTGTGGGTGGCATGTTATGCATTCGGCTTGCTTGCCGCACAAATGCACTTCCAGGCTGCTCGTCAGTGGTTGCAGACTGTCATGCTGTAACCAAAAACAGAGCGATTGCGTTTGGAACGTTTAGCCTTCTGAGCCGCGACCTTGGCCAGCAGTCGCCACCCGTTTGGGATTTATACATCCCGTCTGACAACGGTATGATGTGACTAAGGCTGGGATAATATATGTGAAGTGCATGCAAATGATAGAAACACCTTTTACACGAAGGACCCGGTAAAGCTGCACCAATAAGATCACAGTAGATAAACACATTTAGAAAGAGTTTATGTAGCTTGATAGCTAACTACAGATTGTCGGCTTCAGCTCCCTGGGAACGATAATTTTCAGCTGAAAATGAAAACCACCCATGTTGTATGTTATATCCATACTGGTTCGTAAGAGCACAGGCCCAGAGTCAAATAAAAACTGATATAACCCGTTGTCTCAAAATCTCCATGAGCTACTGCGAGGTATGGCGAGGCGGCATAATCCTTAAAACACGTTTTAAACATAACTGTTAATTCCCATGGCAGCGGTTGCTATTTCATGCATGCCATTTGTTGTCTTTGGTGATGTGCGACACTGAGCCACAGGCATGTTTGCACAGAGGTATCCAGGCATGCGTGGTATGGTATGCGACAGCTATGGCAAAGTGACAATCCTGCCACGCGATCTGTCGTCAAATTAGGTATCCTAGCAACACCCTTGCGATTGAAAGATCCCTGTTCTGACAGCTGGCCCACACAAACACTCCCAAATGTCCTCTCTCCCCTGTCAACAGCACCCCGCTGCAAGCACCACAAAGACCCTGTTATGAAGCGCGGCGGGAAGGCAGCCCAGCCGGTGGCAGCGCCCGCCCCGGGCTGTGCGTCCTTGAGAAGGGTTTCCTGTTGCCGCTCGAGAGCTGTGTGCTGGAGCACGCGCCACGCGGCGCTGGGTGTTCTCCACGGTCCGCCGCCGTCGGTGCCGGATATTGTCCGTGGTCCGATGCTTCCAGTGAAAGGCTCGCTTGGACCGCGTCGGGCGTTGCCTGCGTCTGCAAGGCCGAACGCATTAAGTTCACAAACCGCATGTTATCAGAGGAAACGTGTTCGCGCTGGAACTGATTGTCTTGCTGAGGACGTAGCAGGTGATGGCCTGTGTGCCATCAAAGCTGGAACAGAGTTTGAAGGTTGGCTTGTATCCCGGTAAACCTCTGATTACTTTCCGCTTAATTGGGTTTTGAGCACTGAGTGCGTTGCTTGCACGGACTTCGCATCGGGGATTAAGTGTGTGGTGGTGAAGTGAACTGTTGGCATAGTAGTGACCTCGTTAGCGCGACGTTGCTTGGCTAAGACCTTGGAGTTTTTGGAATCAGCCAAGTGTCGCAAAGAATGCTTGGTGTTGGGAGTTTTGTACGGGCAGATTACTGAGAACATTGCGCCTTCACGAAAACTGTCGAAAGGCTTAAATGCAGGTCGAAGGTTGAAGCCGGACGAGTGCAGCGCACGCGCCAAAAGCAGCACCCAGTTCAACAGAAAAACCGGTGCTCCTGAAAACAGAGCGTTGCTCTCTCACAGTGCCCTGGAACAATATGGAACGGGTTTAGAGGATTGTTGTATGCAACGCACGAAAAGGAAAGCTCTGCTAAGCGTCCTCCAGGGGCGTAACGGCGCGTGGCGGCATCCGCTTCCCTCGCTGATCGCTTGGTCGCCGGCAACGGCAAGTCAATAACGCGTCCATCATTACGGGCACGGCAGCATTGTCGGTCCGCGGCCTACCGAGACCGCTCTTGGCCACGCCAGCTGACGGCCGGGCTCGCTCCGGCCGCGGCACACTATCGCAATATGGCGTGCGGCGCGCGTCTCCGCCATGGTCCACCAAGCCGGCTCAAATCTCTCAACGACAGCAGCGCCGTCAGGGGTCGCGATTGGCCTGCCATCTAACGGCGTGACGTCGTCCGTTGCAGGTGCTGATCGGCGTGCTGTCGTTGAGTTTGAACTTGCTGCGCGATTGCCGCCTGGACCGGGACGAGTACGCCAAATCGGCAAACGCAATCAACTACACGTCGCTGGCGTTCGTGTTTGTCATTACGACCACCAACGTGCTGATATCGGCCTTCGATGTCCGGCCGACGGGTAGGGAAGGCGCGCCCTGAGACAGTATACGGGGGCGCGGCCGCGCGGGCCGATCGCGGCTGCCGCGGTGCCCATGGTCCCGGAGGGTGGCGCCGCTGGCCGAGACATAGGCGCGAGCAAACGTTTTAATTATTCTGTCGTGTTTGAATCATAAAACTGAAACCAGGTCAAGTGTTGATGTGAATTTGGCAGCGGATATTGGATTATCTTATATCCTGTTAGTTTCTGTAGTGATACCGAATTCTTTGAGCACTTGGTAAAGGTTTGGCTTGTAAAGCACGCAACACAAAAACGCCGTTTGGACGGCGCAGTATTCTGGAATGCTGTGACAGCATGTGACTTTGTTATAGCTGGGCTATGTGTGATAGGAGTTAGCGATTACCGGAGGGACTCAGGTCTAATGTACTCGCCGGCTTTAACATTCTGCCTGGAGATGTCAGTGCAGTCACCGAGAGGCAGGTTTTATCTCTTCAATAAACAACTATCGTGTGGTGGTGCCATTAATCACGTGTTCTGAATAAGTGATGCGCACATCAGTCACAGAGCAATCGTTGGCTGGGTTTGAAAATGTAGAGGGCCTGAACGGTTACGACCATCGCGTAAAAAGCTGCAATAAGATAAGATATATGCTACATTTTGTGTAATAATTTCATAATAATAGGAAGCCTATGTGGACACAGTCAACCGTTGGAACTATGAAACTTCATTGTTCGTCCGCACTATTTTGGTTCATTTTGTGTAAGAATAAGTTGTGAGTTGTGAGCATTGAAGCCGGTGATCGCCCGAAACGTCTAAGTTATAACGCGGGCGCCCTCTACCATTCCATTCATCATGTTTAATCCCGTGGGATGAGGAAGGTGGCACCAGTGGTATTCGTTCTGCTTGTTTAATGAGTGCGGGTGAGCCCCAGTGAGCGGCGGGGCTGCAGCTGCCAGTCCAGCTCTTATGAGGCTGACCGCTCTACGGACCGCTGAAGGATCGGCCGCTGTCGCCGCTCCAGTGAGGCCACGCCGAGGGCCTCGCAGACTGTGACGATACCCTGCAGCCGCCCTGACTGCTGAGGGACCGGCGGCTGTCGCAGCCTTGTTCTCTGAATACCTCATCTCCCTCTGCCCTGACGGCGGCTGTCGCAGCCTTGTTCTCTGAATACCTCATCTCCCTCTGCCCTGACGGCGGATGTGGCAGCCTTGTTCCCTGAGTACCTCATCTCCCTCTGCCCTGACGGCGGTTGTCCCAGCCTTGTTCTCTGAGTACCCCATCTTCCTCTGCCCTGACGTCCCCGTCGACGATGACAGGCCCGTCCACGGTGGCGGAACGCGCGTCACTTCGGACGTCACCGGCGTCAGACTGTAGTGACCTTTCCTGAGATATCGCTCGGAGGGCGCCTTTAATGACTATAATAATTTGTCGCACACAAGTCATCACACCAACTGCACATGCAGACACGACAGCTTTATCACTTAACGAACATTATCGCATAAGGTCTGCCCAGCAGCGTACTCTGGATTTGACGCCTGGGTGGCAAGCCGGTGCTCGGGCAGGATGTAATTTGTGAAGGCAAACCACAGACTGGTATATCACCAGCCCCGTTGGGGTTCCGATGCCGTTTGTTCTAAGTCTAGGCCACATCCTGTTGTATTTAAGGTTGTTTGCAGAAAAGGTGGTGTCGGTGCTTTCCGGTTAATTACTGATCCACCTACCAGCTAGAGCGTTGAGATCGCATGCCAAACCGCACAGCTGGTTTTGCTTACACCACACAGCTGGTTACGCCTGCACCACACAGCTGGTTTTGCCTACACCACACAGCTGGTTTCGCCTACACCACACAGCTGGTTTCGCCTACACCGTACAGCTGTTTTCCCTTGAGCCACACAGCTGGTTTCGCTACACCACACAGCTGGTTTCGCTTACACCACACAGCTGGTTTCGCTTACACCACACAGCTGGTTTCGCTTACACCACACAGCTGGTTTCAAGTACCTACGGGCTCTGCCTGCTGAGGTCCGACATTCATCTCCGAGCATTACCGAAAGTAGGTGGATCCATTGCGTGCGCTCGGTTCGTGTCATAGCCGGCGCACGTGGACCCTCACGCTTGCCAGTACGATTGTTCATTTTCTCCTCTGTCAGTATTAGTTTCATGCTGTTGCGGGGCCTAGTCACCGAAATCTGGGCCTCATTGGTCATTTGAATCGCGTTTTTCAGCTTGTTGCGAATTGTGTGCATTTTACGTTTTCCATGTTGATCGAATGTGACCGGTTAAATACTGGCAATATTGCAACGCTGCAAGAAAAGAGCACCTGGCTTAACAACTTGCATTAAATCTTCCAAGTTGCTTTGAGGATAGGACTGCACATGTGATGACAAACTGCGCTAGCACATGTCGAAAACGTCATGACGTTACGATCACTAGTTCGAACGATTTAAACCCGTAAAAAATCTGAATGGGACGAGCCTAACTGCTGAAGCTTCATTTCCACGTAGTTGACATATAAAGCGCACACGCAGCCTTGCGCCTAATAATACCCGTAAGCAAACTGTCATCTAAGTTTCATTGCAATGCATTCCAGCCCACGTGGACTTGGCGCCGGAATCCTGCATGTATCCACTGCCTGTGAAAGGAGCGCACGAGCATGATCGCCGACTGTGCTCTGGAATTAACATTGCGTGGGTCAAATCGGCTTGTAAGACACAGCACACAACAACTAAGCGTGCTTCTCTGTCTCTGGCGTTGCGGTTAGAGGCGGGCCGCGATTTGGTGTCATACTTCTACCAGTCTTCCGAGTATGCGCGCTCGCGGTGGGTCTGGATTGGTTCGATGACAAGGTGGCAGAGTGGTTGGCTGCGCCGTTGAGGCTGCGCCTGCCGGGATCTGTTTGGAGGAGTATGTACGGCCAAAGGTCTAGTCCGCTGGACGGAGAAGGTCACGACGGCTGTTCCGCTTGCCTATGGCCAGATCCCGCCAGGGCCAAGCGCTTCAGGTGCGCTACAAGACGCGAGGAAACATCTGAATCGAAAAGCTTTCGGTGTGCTTCTGAGACTTCTCACATTCGGAGCACGCCGGCATTTCCCTCCCATCCTCCATGACCTCCATGGTGAAGATGCCGAAGCAGTCCCACAGTTGCACTTAGCACGTCTTAGACGGGACCAGCTGACTCGAATCACACGGAGTCGAACGTAGCCATCTGGCAAGCAGGTCCGACAGCGGTGCAGCCCGGTGGTAAAGAACTAGGTTCATGCTTTACGGCGTTTGTACAGCAGGTGTTGCCGGAGTTCTCCAGGCCAGTGGAGCCGGTACCCCGCCTCCGTCGATGTCACCAACGCCACCCCCACTCCCATCGCAGCTACCACCACCGGCCCCGCTGTCCCAGCCGCCAATGAGGCTGTCGAGGCCACCCTCGTGACGCGACGCATGGCACGCGCGTCGGCATGGCGCGGCTGAAGCTTGAGCCGATGCTCGACGGCGCCGCCGCGGCCCGGTCGGCCGGAGACACCTGTGACGACCGCCGAGGCCGCGCGGCCGCGCACGATTGGCACAGACGTGCGCGGCCGCGGCCCGGCGGTGCCTGCCGCTGCGGACCGTTCTGAGTCTGCTGAGCTCCCGCGCGAGCGCCGAGCGGGCAGCTCAGAAGAGGTCGGTTGCGTCAGCCACTAGCTCGGACCTGGACATCGGGCAGAGGTCGGCGCAGGGATGGCGTCTGATGCGCGAGCTGCGGCCCCGGTCTCACATGCGGCACCCGAGACGCCGCTCGACCCTAACCAACGCCGGAGGCGGCATCTGGCTGCGTTGGTTAGACTGTGTGCACGGTTGCACTATGCACACTTCCGCTTCAGCGCAATTCTGGGTTTACTTTGCCCTCCATTGCCAAACGTTATCTTAATTCGCTCCGATGGTTAGGCTCACTCCATAATCTCAACCGTGCAAGAATAGCCGTGTGTTCATGAATGCCATGGCAACGACACAACCACGTTGTAAATGACACGTAAATCATTCGCTTTTAATATTTGGGTAATTGCAATAACTTCCCCTGTCGACTTTCTGCGCTGCTACCTGTTTGACCAGTTTGTCCGCCAGTGCGTGCTTCCCCATGACCCCCCCTTGCGTCCGCCAGTGCCTGCAGGCCATCACGAACCTGGCGCTGACGGTGCTGGACGCTCGCGACACCAGCCAGGCGCTGGCCAGGCCGCGCGAGTACCTCAACTACCTGACCATGGCCTTCGCCCTGGGCACCGTCATCGCCGACGCCATCCGCTCTGGCTTCGGCTACGACGCCGGGCCGACGCAGGCCGTCGCCGCAGCGCCGTGAATGCGGGGGCCTCTTCGGCGAGGAGGAGCACCGGCAGAACACCGCCCGGCGGCGTGACGGAACGACAGCAACGTCCTTAGATATGACAAGAGATACACAAATGGCTGATGACACACTCGCCGTAAATGCAAAGAAAACACCACGCAAAGAGCCGTAAATGGTCTTGACACTTCGGTAGCAAACGAAACACAGCTTTAAATGGCCGCAAAAGCACGACACCAAACACCACGGAGCGTCATGGACGCGGCAGCAAATAATATACACGAGCGTTGATGCTCTGTAACGAGAGAACAAACTGCACAAACGACGGCTGGCTTCTGGAGACGAGATAGCCAATGGGGTAAACAACAAGCGACCGCCCGTAATGTAGCTTAAACGCGCGGAAGGCAAAGCCGGTCGCGGCCGAATCACTGAAGAGGGTTCACGGACCGCCCTCCGCACCACGTGCTAAGCGTCCGTCTGTCCGTCCGAGAGCGACGAAGGCGACCCGAGAGGGTGGGGAGCACCAGCGCCGGCTGGCGAGCCTCGAGTGGCTCGGGCGTCTCAGTGACGCGCCACCTGGCGGAGAGCGGGTGTGCTGTGGACGGATGACGCTCCACTGCCGTTGGAGCTCGCCGCCGAGGCGGCGGAGGGCTGCACACCACCGTGCGAGGACACGACCCGTGGGTTTGGCCTCGAGACCGGACACTGCGCGCTTCAGCGTCGGGTCAACGGCTGCACTGCACGCACGAGGTGCACTGGGAGTGGTCGTCTGGCCTCTCATTGTCTTGTCCAGGCGCAGTCGGTTGATGGTGTCTGCGGCTCCGCCTGCCTTCCGCACTCCAGGTCCAGGGCGGCGTCAATCCCGACTTCCCGACCCGGACCCGATCTTGACGCCCCGTCCTCTGTTTCAGATCCTGATCGGAGTCCTCCTCATGGTGCTGGGGGCACTGGATATCACTGACGAGTCCCCACCCAGATGGCCGCAGACATCATCAACGACATCACCGTCATCATGGTGTTCATCGTCACCCTGTTAAACGTCATCATCGCCTCGTTCGGCATCGAGACCACGCAGAGGCTGTTTGTGACGGTACCGCCGGCCCCCGCCGCCTGACCTCCCCGAGCGCATCAAGCCAGGGCTGCGTGGCCAATGTCCAGCAGGCACAGCTGGCCGATCCGGACAGCCATCCGGCGAATGCCACCAGTGTAGTG